TGTTACTTTTTTTTTTTTTTTAACTTCTTGCTCAAATTTAGCAAAATGGTGACAGTTTGTGGTGAAGCTTTTATGGCTTCAAACATGCTCATGAAATATAACTGAATTTTTTTTTTCGCAACCACTGCTACAAAGGAATAGGGGAAAAAATACAAATAACAGAAGCCTCTTTTATTCTCTCTACTGATGAATATCTTGACAATAATACGAGAGAAGCATAGAGTAAATTTGTTACATCATAACATCAAACATGAGTAAAAGTATATATCATTCTCAATGACATGATTAACTGTAAAAGTCGTCTTTTTTCAAATATGAAATATAACAATCCATAGCAAATTAACTTTTACTGTCATAATCCTTTGAATTCATAATGATCACAAAAACTTAATTATTAGATTTACTACCATAATTCTCCATGAGCAAAATATTAAATACACTTAAAAATATTGATCATATTTTCTTTTCACAGTTGTTTAGCTAATACATGGCCCAAGAGCCACTCAAGGTAGATTACTGAATGAGGTTGTTGAAAGCAGTTAATGTTTCTTTTAATAATATACATGCAGACTATTGTCCTCATCTTTGTTGTTGTTATCATAACATTTCACCCATTGTACACTTTAATTTTCATTAGATGCATGTCAATCCAGGTAACCATCATTTTTTTTTTTTTTAAATTGATTTCATTCCAAACAAGACAGTAAAGCTACTAAGACACAAGGAGTTACTGGCTGTGGAAGAAACAAAAAACAGAAATATCACAAAGGAGCAAAAACAAAAGAGGTGTAAATCAGGAGGACAGTAAATAGCAATTGACATTGCATTTAAATTTTTGCAGATTAAAGTTAGTTGGAAAGCATAGAGCCAGAAGGGAGTTCCACAAGCAAGAAGTGCAAGAAAAGAAACTGTTAGCATAGAACTTACAGCTATATCTAGCCAGCTCAACTGTATATTGGTGAAACTATAGAGGACTGTTGGGATTTGAGTGTTGAATAAGGGACACATACTCTTTATTCCTGCTAGAAGAAGGTCCAACTACAAGAACAATTCTGGACTCAAGTTGGAGTCCAACCAAAGATGAAAAGAAAACAAACAAGACCGATATATAGATACAAACAAGTAATTGTATTAAACAACATAATTTAAAATGGACATAGACATTAACGTTTGTGTTTGTGTCTGAATGTAAAGAGTTTGTATTTTGGTGAATGTTTATACATACATGACAAAAACGTGGATCTTTGTGAGAGATCACGTTTTTAAATGTGTCTGTTGAAATGCAAAGTAGAAAGAGAATGAGGCAAGAAGTCGCTAAGTATTTATAGTGTAGGGAAAGTGACCCCTAGTGAAATATTTAGACAATTAAGGAGGAGTTAACTCTGACAAGTCCTCATTGCCAATCTAACACTACACTTAAATTCATGAAGTCTAGGTAACATGGCAAAGAGCTCATTCAAACAGTTCAGGAAATTTTGAACCTTTATCTAATCTATGGGGGTGAGTAGTCTGTTCTCATTCTAGGGATATCTCATTGAGTTCTTAGTTTTAGTATTGCTGAGTTATTGTTCATCCTGTTTCCACAACTCACAATGTGTAATGGTTAGCACACACTGCTCATCCCAAGAATTGAACTCACTGTTAATATGTCACAAAATTAAGAAACCAACATTTTAATCCACTAGACTATGGAAAATTCTATTGAAAACTTGGAGCCTTAAACTTTTTTCTTTTGTTACAGCTGCTGTGGTTGTTGTTGAAGACTTGCTGCTATAGATAATGGTTGACTTGAGACTTGTTAAGGTCATGGAAGCATCCTCTCAAAAGTTTGTTCAACAAAGCAGTAGATCTTGGAAAGATGCTGTTCAAATGGAACTTTCTTCTTATCAATGGAAAACAAACAGAATGGGAATGATTTGTTTCTGTATAGCAATTTACTAAGCATAGCTTAGATGAGGCACAAGACCGAAAGAATAGAGCAACCATTGAGGATTGAGATCACTGTTCAGTTATAACTGATTTGAGACTGTAAATGTGACAAGGTAGGTCTTAGCTGTAAAGATGTGAACTGGTAGAACTAAGGAATGTATTGTGTCTGAACATTTGCCATGAAAATATCAATAGAGTAACAAGAGGTTTGTGTTTCACTTTTAGAAAAGAGATTGAAAAGTAAAAAAAAAAATGAATCATCACCCACAAGGCTACATAAACTCTTCTGAACAATGAGGTTTGGGCAACTCCAATCTAGTCTGAATCTTGACTCTGATAGAGAATGACAGGAGGAGTCAGTTACTTACGAGAGCAGTACAATGAAATGATCATTATTCTGGTCTTTTTTACAATGGATCATATCTTTATATAGAGTGTGATGGATAAAGTGTCACCATTTTATATTCTTAATTTTGCTCATTGTTTGTTTTTTTTGTTTTTTTGTCAACTGCACAGCATAGTAGGATCAGTTGGGCACCGTCTGTGCGAAAAAGAGCACCATGACACAATTTACGCTACCAGTAATTTGAAAACAGCATGCTGTACTGCTTTGTATTTGCACTGGCAGCTCCAATATGAACATTTCAGAGTGTTTGGTGTCAATCTGAGGACAGTGCAGAGGATTCAGAAAGAGTTGGATGAGTCCAATGGTGATTACAAATATACAGCAACTTGAAAAACTCACTCTGATCATTCTCATAAAAAAAAAAAAGGAACACCCAAATTTTTTGGTGAGAGTCACACGATGATTGACAGTGATCCCTCCAAGTCAATCAGGTCCATATCCAGGGACACAGGAGTGTCTGAGTTTTTCATCAGGCAGGTAGTGCATGAAGACATTTAGTATTTCTCATACAAGATGAGAAACGGCCAATTTTTATCCCAAGCCATGAAGTACAAGAGGAAAAACCACAAAGCTTGAGAACAAACTCCAGCATCCCCTCCAACTGAACAATTTTGGTTTTTCTCAGATAAGAAAAAAATTTCTGCCAGGATAAGATGGTGAACACAGAACAACTGTTGGCTTGCTGTGTCCCAAAAAGATGTAGTGAGAGTGATGAAAACCAAATATCCAGTCAGCATAATGGTGTTTGAAGTGATCACTAGTGATGGTAACATTATGACTCCATCTTCTCATAAGGCCTCAGACTCAATATGGAGGTCTACATCAACTTCCTTGTGGAAGTAGAACTGCCCTGTTGTTGGAAGTCCCTATGTCTGGCAACAGAACTCTGCACCATGCCACACAAACAGGAGAACCCAGTCATTGCTGTCAGACAATTTCTGCAACCACATCACCACTTACATCTGGCCACCTATTTGCCCAGACTTCAATCCCTTTAATTATTATGTATGGGGTGTAGCTGTGTGAAAGAACAACAAAACACTTTGTAAAGAGGAACTGAAGGCAAGGATTATGGCAGCATTCACCAACTTAAACAAGGAGACCATCCAGAAGAGTTGCAGGAGATTCCAAAATCATCTGGGGGATAATTTTATTGAATAAAATTACACTTTAGTATTTCAAGATATTTTGTATAATTTGGGTAAATATATCTGTTAAAATGTGTGTGTGTGTATATATATATATATATATATATACATACAGAGAGAAAGAGAGTGCCACTTGTAGATTGAGGTGAACTCGAGTTTCCAATGACGTTGAAAGCAAGGGACAACCATTCCTAAACTTCCTAAACTTTTGTTTGAAGTATGTGGAATGTCAACATCTTGATTATGTCATTAATTTCCCTTTGAGTTACATGTGCTATCAATATTTACATGTTATTACTATTGAAAGTAAGCAAGTGATGTGTTTTTTTTTTGTTACTTGGTACAGTTCATTATTTGTGATGTTGTAGCACCAGTTTACGAGGTTCAAAGAAGAATGGTTTTCTCTAAGTGGTATCAACCAACATGTGTTGGGGAAAACTTTCAGGATAGATTTATATGGTATATTTAAAGCCAAAACTTATTTTGGATTATAAGAACAATTTTTTTTTTGGTGAGTCAGTATTAGATTAAATATTTTTTGGTGATGACAATGATTTTTTCCAGATACAAGTCTTACTATTTAACCCATGGCATAGGGAAGAAGAGATGGATTCATACCTTTCCCAGGGATATTTATAAGTGAATATAATGAACTTAAATGAGACTTGAACTCAGCTGTGCTGCTATCCATTACACTATCCACACTTAGAATCAAATTTGGGTACCTTAGATTTATATAAACTTGTATTAGACATTTGTTATGGTGCATATGTTAACATGTCTTACAAGCTATTGAAAGTGATTTTGTTGTTTATTAAGTACTCACTGGATTTATATTTACCTCTACAGAGATATCTTCTTTTAAAGAAATTTACTTTCTCTTCTAGGGCAAGAAACAATCATAAGACAATATATAATTTGAGTATCATATTCATCATAACATTTGGGAAACACTATTAAAAGCTGATTAGAAGATATAAATTGTAATTAATGCACTCAATATATTAGTCAAAAGGGAAACAATCAAGATTTCAGCCTTTGAATAAAGAATTTTGAGCTTTATCTCATTATTTTTCTTCTTTTTTTTTCAGAACGGGTTTTTCTTAATGAGCCATAATGAATTTGCTTTTATTTTCATAACCTTTTGAACCATAATGAATGCAAACAATTCATTACTGTTTTAGTGACACAAAAGTGGATCAAAATCCTCATTATTTCTGCGTCTTTTTTTCCTCTCCTCTTTCAGCTTAAATTGACCAATGTCAAAAAAAAAAAAAGAGTTTGCATTGACAGCTTCATAGCATGTCTATGAAATATGATACATGTTTGGCAGAGACCTTTGCTAGTATTTTTTTTTGTCTCTAATCAGTGCATAACCCCATGCAATAAAAACAACAGAGTTGTAGCAGTTAACTATATGTCATGTGAGCATAATTGCTGCTCATTACCACAAATCAAGCGAGCAGATTACCTTTGATCTTTTGTCTGATATACTTATAACAGCTGATTGTGAGTCGATGATTGAGCAATCACTTTGCTGTCTCTTCATACCATTTATGATTGGCTGGGGTTGGGGCACAATTATTGTTTATTTTTCTTTAGTTTGTTATTTGAATATGAGTCCCTTAGTCGTTTGCTTAAAATAATAGACTTAATTGACTTTCTCCATTTAACGCTTGTGAAAAATGCTGAGTGAGCTTCTAAATGATTTTAAATGCTAAGCCAATCAAAGTTCAAAAGTTGAAAGAAAGACTTGCCAAAAACTTTTAATTATATTGGATTTTTTTTTATTATGTTACTAAACAATAAAACTTAAAAATAGCAAAGCTTGCAAAGTTCTTCGATATAAGTTCAGGTTGATGAAAATTTTTCAATTATGAACAGAAAAATTATTAAGTATATTTTTAATCTACCAATCAATTAGCAGAATTAAAAAAAAAAATAGTTTTCTGTTTTATTGAGCAGTAACAAATCTGAAGATGCATTGAAAAAGTGAAAGATGCCTTCCAAAAGCTAAGCAAACTATGAAGAAACAGGAAAATTTCATTAAAAACAAAGGAATGCGTACTGAGCTCTTATGTAATATTGGTCCTCCTATATGCCAGTTAATGTGGGGCAGTCTCCTCACAGAAGATAATTGAGTCTAGAGAGATGTGGTTCTACAGAATCATGCTAAGAATATCATGGACTGAGCATGTAAGTTTTAAGGAAAATGGAAACAAAGAGGATACTTCTACTTAGAATCAGAAATATTTGAAATTTTTAGAATACATAATGAGGAAAGAGAGGTTGGAGAACTTGACACTCACAGGACAAATTGAAGGCAAGAGGGGCAGAGGAAACAGTAAGTAACAAGGAATTTTGAAGGATAATGAAAAGACAAAACTTATTGTTGATTCCTGTATAGACATTTCCCATAAACAAAAATGATGCTCAGTTTTTTTTTATCTCTCTGTTTTTGGGGCTACGTTCTCCAACATCAACACTGACTTTGTGACCACCCCTGAGTTTTGTAGGCACTACCATATCCAAGGAATTCCAAGTTCATTAAATGATCCCTCCTGATTAATGGCATCTACATGCTACTAATGTGAATATTCATCTTATTTTTTAGCTAAAGCAGCACAACACATGAACAGACTCTTTCAGTTTTCTTATTTGCCTCTTTTTCTCAGATGAAGAAATTATCGGTTTTATATTTCATTTTTGAGATGATTTAATTGTCAATACAGAGTGAGGTGATTCTAAGAGAATTAGGAGTCCATGAAGGATACATTATTGGCTGCTACAATCTACTGTGTCATCTGCATATGAGATATGCAGATGACACTGTTGATAGCGGACACAGAAATTAAACTAGAGGAACTTATACAGAACGTAGTGAAGGAAAGCAAGAAAGGAATAAATATTGTAAGAAGATAGAATGCATTGTTAGCAAAACGAACAGCCCAACATATAAATTAAAAAATAAGAATTACTGAAATCAAACAAATACAACAATTTAAATATCAGGGAAGTGTTTTAACAGAGGGCAGAAAGTGCAACACTGATATCCAAAGATGCATTGGGATAGTGAAAGATGCCTTCCAAAAGCTAAGTAAAGTATTAAGAAATAGGAAAATTTCATTACAAACAAAGAAAAGAGCACTGAACTGCTATGTAGTATATATCCTCCTATATGGTAGTGAATGCTGGACAATCTCCTCAAAGAAACTTGAAGTAAGAGAAATGTGATTCTACAGAAGGATGCTGAGAATACCATGGACACTGAACATGTGAGCAATGATGGAGTTTTATAGAAAATGGAAGCAAATAGAACATTTGTAATTAACATCAGGAATAGATAGTTGAAATTTCTAGGGTGCGTAATGAGGAAAGAGGGCTTGGGAAATGTGATACTCACAGGACATAAAAAAGGCCAGAGGGACAGAAGAAAACAATGCATAACCTACTTGGCAAGCTTGAGAAAATGGATGGCGGAGCAAAGTTTCAGGAGATATAAAAGAAAGATAAATTTATTAAGAAGTAGAAAGGACAAGAAATTGTGGAGTGCCATGATCACCAACATCCTGAAAGAACATGGCACATAGAAGAAAAATTGTCAATATGCTTTAATTGTTTAGAAGTATTGTTCTCGTCTTGGTTACTATAGTTGTTATTATAGAAACATTTTAGCCAAGTAGTCTCTAGCCATCATCAGGTGTCCATTGTTTGCCTGATATGGGATATCTGTTAATTATTCTTATTTTGTCCCTGTTACCTGATCTAGTGTCCATGAGTTCTATCGCAGGATCAGGTAGTGAAGTACTGGCTCAGCAGGTATGAACAATAACTGACATCACACAGACAAAATAGTGTAATAATCAAAAGATATTCCATATATACCAAATAATAAATATCTGATGATGACCAGAGGGTACTTGGCTGAAATGTCTTTTTAATAACATCTATGACAACCAAGATGAGAACAACAGTTCAAAATAATCAAATTATGATGAAATTAATTTGAGAAAAAAGTCACTTTTCTTTGTTTATTTTTAAGTTTTTATTATTGATTGATTTCACCCCATGCAAGGCAGGAAAGTCACTAAAATACAAGGGGTTACTGGGTGTGGAAGAATTAGAAAAGAAAGAAACATTACTAAGGAGCGGGATCAAAGGAAAAGTAATCAGGGGGATAATAGATAGTGACTGACATTGCATTTAAATTTTTGAAGATTAAAGTTGGCTGAGAAGCATGGAGCTGGAAGGGAGTTCCACAAGTGCAGGATAATAATATAGATAGAACTTATGATTACATCTAGCTAACATGACTCTAAATTGATGAGACCTTGTTAATCTAGTTCTAGTACAGCCATTAAATTTATGAAGTCTAGGTATCACAACGAAGAGCTCATTTGAACAATTACCATTATTTATAGAAAAGACATTAGAAGGCAACCTTACAGTGATGGGAAAGTGACTAAAGCCAAGCCAACAGGTCAGGACAAATATTTTTGATTCTTCTTAAGGAGCTCAAAGTAAATAGCAGGAACACTGGACCATATGTGACAGCATTATTCTAAGAATGGATGAATGGTAGACCTATAGATATGTTTGACAAAATTCAGATGAAAGAATCTTTAACTTGGTACTGAATATTAAACTTGCCTTTGTTTTATTTGGATTTTAGAAGGACATTTCAGTTAGGGTTTTTTAAAATTTTATCTTTTTTTTTCTTTTTAGAAATCAACTTGAATTAATAAATATAACCATTCAACAAATGCTTATAATTTTAATGCTTTTTAATTTTATTTTTTGTTGTTTCTTTTACACTTTTTAAGATAAAAGAAACAAGAAAATTTAATTCAGTTACTTAAGAGTTACAAAATAAGGAATTTATTTACAAATTGTTTGTAGATTATTAAACAGTTGTTTGATTATGTATGGGTGTTTACTAGTGCAGAAAGTGGATTTGCTGTACTAAATTCAAATTCCAGACTAATCTGGACTCCAGTGATTTAACAATTGAAATCTTTTAAGGAGTGATAGGGTTAAATCTAATTTTATTAACCTACCTGGATTTTACAGAAAAAAAACATTTCAGTAATACTTTTTCTAAACATTCCTTTTTTCTGAAAATGAATCAAATGAATAAATATATCCAGTCATCAAATGCTCGTAAGTCATGTTCATTCTGAAGAGATATGGCAATAAAAAAAAAAAAAAGCTACAAACATTTTCGATAAACTTTGAAAATAAAACTCACAGTCTCTGAAATAAACTTAATAAAAGCCATCAATAAATGTTTGGGAGAGAAATTTAGGATCTTGTGGTTTGCAATACTAAGCTTTAACCATGGAGCTGATACTAACATTTTAATTCTGAATTCAAAGTTCTTCACAACCCAAGTATTTAGGTTAGAATCCAAGATACATTTGGTCACCTGACGACCACACACTGTTAACTTTGAATATTTAACTGATCTGTACTTTATTTTATTTTATTTGTTTTGTAAATATTGACCCTTCACTATTAGAGTTGCTACTTAAGAATGACTCAACAATCACAATACTTTACCTTTTATTTTCATCCTTTCCTTCCATGTCTACCAAAACGAAATTTAAACAATAGAATGACCTCCCAGAATCAATAGATTGATTGACAAATTTGCCATGTCATCAAGTGCAATTGAGACCAACATTTGCAAATTGTTTCCAACTTTCTTTTTTTCTTTTTCAACTTTTTTTCTGGTCTGTTTAGATTAAAAACTTCTCATTCATGGCATTTCTTGGTTTCACTCTTTCTCACTTGCTATTCTTCTTTTTTCTCTGTTTCAGTCTTATTTCTGCCACCAAGTGCAATTTTGACTCTAATTAGTTTAAATCTGTTCGTAAGCATATGTATCAGTAAATGATCTTGTAGACTTTATCATTTTCTTTAGTGACGACCCAACTGGGATTCTATCTTGACTTTTATTGTATAGCATTTTTGTTTTGTTTTTTCCATGTCTTATTTTTATTCATGTGTTGCTTGCTTTTATTAAGTTTTTGTGTGTAAATGGTTTTGTCAGATTTTTCTTTTCCCTTTTTTTTTATTTAAACAAACTTTTTTTTATAATTTTTTTTCTTTTTATATGTTACTTCTTAAATTTTTCTTTGTTTTTTATTTTAATTTTTAGCTAGCATTTGTCTTTATTGTTTTAATAAGTTTTTGGGTTGTTACTTATTTTTTTTTATATGAAGTTTTCTTTAGAAGATTTTTTTTATTTCTATTTGTTTTTTTTTCTTAACTAGTTTTGTTTTTTCTTTGTATTGTTTTTTTTTTCTGATTTGAAGCTGTTAATTTTCATCTCTTCAGCATTTGGTCCTAATTTCTTTATTATTCTTTCTTTCTTTCTAGTTTCTTTATTGTTCTATTTCTTTGCCATATTTAAATCTTTTTCTTTTTCCCTTTTATTTAACATCATTCTCCTTTTTTTCTTTCATTTTTGCATCAGATCATTCTTTTTGTTGCCATCTTTCAACACTTAACTTTTTCCTTTCATTTTTTTTCTTTTCCTCCTTTCTTTCCTCCTTCCTTTCTTTCCTCCTTCCTTTCCTTTCTTTCCTCCTTTCTTTCCTTTCTTTCCTCCTTCCCTTCCTTCTTCCTTCCTTTCCTTCCTTCTTCCTTTCCTTCCTTCTTCCTTTCCTTCCTTCTTCCTTTCCTTCCTTCTTCCTTTCCTTCCTTCTTCCTTTCCTTCCTTCTTCCTTTCCTTCCTTCTTCCTTTCCTTCCTTCTTTCTCTTTCAAGTTAACAAATACTACCTTCCTTTTCTTTACACTGAAGTTAAGCAGTGCCAACACTGGCTAGTACTTAGATGAGGGACACCATGTAATGTAAGCAACCTCCAACAATCTGAAATACATTTTGGATTTAATAAACCTGCAAATGGTTGATAAGCCATAAAAAACAAATCAGTCAATCGCTGCCTTATATTTTATAGTGATTTTATTTCTTTTGTCTCCTACTGCTTGTCCTATTCTCCTTTCGGTATTTCATTTTTAATCTTTCTTCTCTTACATGAATTTTTTTTTTTTTTGGGGGTTCAAATGGTTTTTTCTACTCTCTTCCTGCTACTCACACTCCTTTCTTTGTTTTTACTTTTTCCTTTACTCATTTTTTCAACTATACCTCTATTTTTTTCAAAACTATGCTTCTCTTTCGTTCTCTCTTTCTCTTCTTTCCTTTCTCTTCTTTCCTTTCTCTTCTTTCCTTTCTCTTCTTTCCCTCTTTCAATTCCAAACTACTTTTTACCTATTCCTCTTTCTACTACTCTTTTCATACTGTTCTTTTTTTTTCTTGTGATTTTTATTTTGTTGTCTTACTCTATTTTTTTTAACTACCTCTCTATTTTTTTTTAACTACCTCTCTATTTTTTTTTTTAACTACCTCTCTATTTTTTTTTTTTTAACTACCTCTCTATTTTTTCCAAAACTATGGTTCTCTTCTGTTCTCTCACTTTTTCAATTACTTTCTCTGATCTTATTCTTCCATTATGCTATTATTTTCTCACAAGTACATTTTTTTTGAAAATCTTCTCTTCCAATCAAAACAGCTGGTTTTGTCTTTCAAATGATATTTTTTTTTTAATTCTTCAGTTCCTTCTCTTCGGTGAGAATAACAGAAAATAAAAAAAAAATCTCCATATCTTGAGACCCACCCACTACAACTCCATAATGCAATTATTGTTTGATAACCTAAGTCTCTCTTCATTAACTTAGCTTCATCAAAGAATACAACAAAAACAAAAGAATACACAAACCGTATTCAAAAGAAAAAAAAAAATCAATGAGCATGTGACGATGTCAGTTCCACTTCATTAGTTCTTTCATTAGTCCTGTTATTTGCATCTCATTAATTAATTTATTGGATTCTCCACACCAAAACAAAAAGTAAATAAAAAATACTTTTCTCTTTCTCTCCTTTTAATTTGATAACATAATCTAAAATATCTTCCTGTGTAATCAATACTAATCAAAACTAACACTGAACTTTTGTATTAACACAATTTGGAATTTAACCAGTGAAATTAAAAACCGCTCACCTTATAAGATTTCATTATCAAACAATTACACAAAGTGCAATGTGACAGATTTTTGATTTTTAACCTATTTTAGCTGGTCATTTTTTTTTTTTTTTTTTTTTACCAGATATCATACTGTAAATATGCTTTAGTTAAAATATTTAAAGATATTTATCGTTTTCAAAACCTTTTAAGAACAATATAACTTAAAGGCATTAATGAATTTTAATCATGGCAAAAAATTTTCACAGCAGTTTTATTTTCAAAAACCTAAGTCCCTTATAAAGTGATAAGCTTCTAAAATCCCCACTGGCCTACATTTAATTAACCAATAAAGCATGACTTTACTCAGATTTATTTTTCAATACTATTTCTTTCATTTTATTTCAGTTGCTTTTTATTGCAACTTCGAAATTTAATTCTCCAATTGTTACTAAATAATAGGAGAAAACCATTTCACAACCATTTAATTTTGAATTTGAAAATGTAAGTCATGGGTAAAATTTAGAAATGATTTCAAAATTTTAAGATTGACATATTTTGTATTTCAGAGAAAAATATTTAAAGTGAGTTAACAATTAAAATTATAAAGATTATATTAGTGTGATAAAAACTCAAGGATTGATAATTGATGCAATGAATATGCATACACCTGGGTTCCCCCTCAGTAATATGCTGGTGTCAGCCATAAATACAGACTGATGTGGAGGTACAGGGATGATGCCTACCACTACGACAAAGATGAGTCCATTACGGTTACCTGCTAGATTGTCCTACCCGGTTACAGTAGTGAACAACCACTTTGCTACTTCGAACAAATATATCCCTTTCCGGGACATATCAATAATATTTTTTTTTTAATCATTTCATCCCAAGCAAGGTGATGACTCCACAGAGATGCAAGAGGTTACTGAGAATGTAAAACAATATAAAAATTGGGAATTGAAGTTACCTTTAAATGTTTGAAGGTTGTAGTTGACAGAAAATCAGCTGAAATATTTGGTAAAAAATAGCATTGTGTTGAATATTTGAAATTTTTGGAACACATAAAAGAGAACTGGGGAAAATTTGACCTTCACAGGAAGGAGAATATTGAAGGCAGGAGGAGTAAAAGGAAAGATTGAGCAAAATAACTGATAAATTGGTGTAAATGTATGTCGGAAGGGGTATGAGCACATGGCTGAGTGGTTAGAATGTTCGCATTCTGACCATGAGACTCGGGTTCGAATCTCAACATTGTCAATTTGTCAGAAAGGAAACTTCCTGATGTTATCAGACTGAATTGAGGTTGATTCCAGTGTGTTACACCTTTAGAAAGTGCCTGAAAACCATACCACGGGTTGACCCAAGTCTTGAGAGTGAAATTGGGTGTCATTGATAGCTGTGCTAGTACAAAGTCATCATGGCCGAGTGCGTGAGCATGCTGGCCTTGTTCAAATTGTTGATCACACTAAATAACATGCTCTTTCCCAGAAACTGTAACTAAGGTCTGATCAGCATAGTTGCAGTACAAACCACAAGTGGGCTCTGTTGGTGTTGAATAAACATAAATGAGCCTGGGCAAGTGTCTGCAATAGGGATTGGCTAAGCACCCTAGTAGATGGATATCCTTGAATGCGAGCGGCCAGCTATGCATACATGGCAGAACAAGTAGAGTAAAATGGACAAACATTGCTTTGAGGTATGAAGGATAGCAAAGACATGTTTTTAGTACTGGGTAAGGCTAATTCCAAGTTTCATTTTGAAAGTCCTCCCAGCCATCTGTCTGTGGTTGGCAGGCTTAAAGGTAATTAGCCTGTAAGTATTTTATTATCTTTCATATAATTTTTGGTCCTGGGTTTTCATTTTAAGTCATTGTGCACCTTTTTATTCTCAGTCTTAGCTCAATTTTCTGACCTTTGTTGCTATTTATAAATTTTGTCTTTTTTATTGTCTCTCCTAAATCCTTTTCATTTAAACAAGCTCGCTAGGTATGCTATGCATTGTTCTCCACTATCCTTCTTGCCTCCAACTCATCCTGTGTGTATCAAATTTTTCCTGTATACCCGAGAAATGTCAACTCTCTCTACCTGATATCAAGTACAAGTGTGCTTTTTATTTCCATTTTCTCTAAAACTTTGTCGTTGCTCACATGTTCAGTGCATGGTATTCTCAGCATCCTTCTATAAAACAATGTTTCTGTTGCTTCAATTCATCTGAGTGGAGATTGTCCAGGATTCAATGCTATATAGGGGGAGTGATAGCACATAACAGTTCAGTATGTTTTTCTTTGTTTCTAACAAAATTTTTCCTGTTTCTTAATACATTGCTTAGATTTTGGAAAGCAGCTTTCACTATCTCAATACACGTTTGGATTTCAGTTTCACACTTTCCATCTTCTGTTTGAGCTACTTTCCAAAGTCTGTCGAAATTATCTAACAGCAAAGTTTGGTGAGTAATCCTATCTTGGTTAAACTGAAAACCTTTCAGCATCCTCTCACTTTTATATATAATCATCCACAGACTGTTTCGCTGTATCACATCTCAGTATGGCTACACATCCGATTGCTTCAAACTGAAATTGAAACCTGACTGATTTGACATCAGTCAGATATCTTACCTCTAGACCATCATCACACGGCAGAGAGGAAGGGAATTTCAATGTTTTTTTTTTCTATACAAAATACACCAATGATAAGTCTTGTTAAATATGACTGACATTGTGCTGCAGTTAATTTTTTTTATTTCATTTTTTTTGTGTTGTTATAATTTTCTTTTCTGGACATAAATTATATAGAAATTGTCTAAATGTTTTGTATGTCAAGCACTTTCAGCTATACCTTTAGCCATTATCAAGGATGATTTTATTTTTACTTTTAACTGAATGTATGGATTGTTTTATATATGTATCTTGAGTTATTGGTATGTTTTATTTTCCAAACACAGTCATCACATTGTGGCTGTGTTCTTAGTTGATATTATTGAGTGCTTCCTATTTTTTTTTTATTAATAATGCATCCATTATTTTTAGTCTTTCTTTACATGTGGATGATATTCGTATTCTCAACATGTATGTTCTGGATAGTTTGGTAGATTTCCATGTGTATTTAAATGAAACCTAATTGAGCTATGGACAATGTGAGTCTTCTTGTTAGGGATGTTGTTGTATATCCAATATAATTATATATGAATTTGGATTGATCAGGAATTGATAAATTGATAACTTATGTCCATAAAAGAACATTATAAGAACACAAGAAAAATTAAATAAAAAACTTAATAGCAGTACCTTTTCAGTTATATTTAATGAATCTTGTATAAAAGAGGGATTGCTGCACAAATACACAATTTTATATATATATATATATATACATGTATGTGTGTGTGTGTATATGTCCTTTTATCATATCACACATATCTGCATATTTTTCTTGTTTGTTCTGCTAAAGAGATTTACAAAACACACTTAACTGCAAGGCAAAATAATGGAATTATTTTGGGAGGAGACAGAATGGAAATATTTGCAAAACTTCCTCACCAGATATCTTTGTTCAAGATCCAAAACACAATAGTACTTGGCACGGCCAATTGGTTCAAAAGAAATTAGCAAACACAGACAGTAAATAGACGTTTTCTATTGCATTATAGTAAAAGCCAGGTTATCCAGATAAACAAGTACTTTAGAAACTAAAAAAGGATTTTCTGTTGATAGATTGTTCATGTAAAAAAACAAAAACCCTGGGTATTAGAAA